CTCAAATGAACCTGCATCGAGATAATTGGAAAATAAATAATTGATAAAATGATTTGAAGTGAATGTAGAATTTTTGGCTCATTATGAGTCCATTTCGGGAATGAGTTGTTTTTAGAGAAAATGATAAGACATTTTTTTAAGAAAATTGAATTCTTAACAGACGAAATTCTTTATGATTGTCTGCTAAAACGAACCATGAAATGATTATAATCACTTGCGAAAGTTTTAATAATGATGCATTCATCTTAGGAATAAGTTGGTTTAGGAGCCAATGATGAAGGGCGTTTCTAATAGGGTTTGGATATCTGAGAATATCTCTTTCTCTTTCTTTTGAATTTTCAATCTGTTGCTTAAGTTTCGTGATAGGTTTGAAAATCGAAATTGTCATTGAAAATTCAATGATCATTCGTAATGGACAACTTAATTTTATTGAATTTCCACGATAAATCAGGAATTCCCTGAGCAATTTAGTCTGAAATTGAATTCAAGCTCAAAGTATTGAATATTCAAATGCATCTGTTACTTGAATTTCAAAAAATTTCCATCCTTTATTTCGTAATGTTTAAAAGAAATTCAATTCTTCAAAAAGAGAAATTTTTTCTTCAAGTTTACGTACTCAAATAGAATAAAACGTGGTTCTCCCAAACTAGCCGATTGGAAGGACGAAGGAGTCATTATTATGGTTTTGAAAATTAATTCGCATCATTTTATTTATATCTCGATAATGTTTGGTTTGAGGACAAAATGTTAAATTGTAACGACTCGCTACACCCGAACACGAGAATTCGCCTTGACCAGCGTCGACCGGAATACACAGGCGTCTGAGTCCCACACGCATGCAACACGGCACGCATTACCTTTGTAATATTTGATCCAATTACGAATACGAAGTCAGTCTGGCGCTGACCGCCGAATGAAGTGGAGTTTATTGGTCACTCCATACCTCAAAATTTTTGAAGTGTGAAATTCCTCATCTCAAAAAAATTGAAAGAAAAATAAATCGGTAGCGAAGTGGTAAAACGGTACAACTCAATTTTGACTATTGACCAGTTTTCAATGAATATCTCGAAATCTAAGGGAGATAGCAAGATTGTTGTTATAACCTTTTCTGTAGAGCCGATTGAGTACTACAACAAATGTAATTACGAAAATTTCACTATCTCCCTTAGATTCAGAAATATTCCTCAAAAACTTAACTGGGAGATACAGATAAGTCGAATTAAACTGTTTTACCACTTCGCTACTGAATTGTTCTACAATTTTATCAAAACTGTATTTTTTTTCAATGACCGACTGAATTACATCTAGATAAAATTTTGGATGAATTTATCTCACGAAAGGAGAGAAGAAGACGCCTGTTTGCAATGTCACCTCCAAAGTCTGACAGACTAATTAATAAACAAAATAAGTGAAAAGTATTACAATGTTCTGAGAAAATTAGAAGGAAAGACGGAAAATGAGACCATTTGAGCCTCCTGATGATCCCGCCCGTCTATCCCGGTTGACCCTTGTGACCCTTGTAATTCCAGAAAAGTTTATTCCAATTTACACCTCAAATCTTCACGTTCCGCCGTCCCTGCGATCACCCGACTCTACGTAACATCTTTACTTTTGTATGTACTTCTAGACGCGATTGAATAAACAATAATTAAGTTAAACGAATTGTCACGCAGTGGATTGACTATACTTCCCGATACAACTAGCTTGATCCCTATAAAAGGACAATCTTATTTTCTTCGAATTTTTATTGTTTAATATTTTCCGTGAAATATAAAAAAAATAAAGATAATGTCAGTGATATCCTTTGATCTCTATTGATGCAACGAAAATTCCACATTATGAAATATTAATTAATGGAATGCTCCGTGGTAGCGTTATTAAAGTTATAAAACAAAATTTACATCACGTTTTCTCTAAAAATACGATACATCCGGTAGACAATCCTTTCCAACCTTCTAGCCTGACTGACTCGATTCGTGCGAGTTACCGCGCGTGCTCAATACCTTCTTCCTTGTACTTGTGGTGTTACGATTATTATGCTCATTTCTGAAAAGAAATTCTCCAAACAAAAAAAAAGCAAAAATGTTGAAAAATGAAGAAAACGAGTGAAAATTAAAATTAAAAAATTTAAAATGTCTGAGGAAATAATTGGTATTCAATAATTGAAAAAAAGAAGAAAATAAAAACTCACAACTGAAATTCGGAGGAACAATTATGAAAAATTTTCTGTGTTTATGCTTTTCTGTTTCAGTTATTCGATGAAAACTTTTCCGTCGAGTGTTTTTAATATTTGATTTTTTTGTTTTTGTCTGGCGGGATAAAACTTATAAAAAAGATGTTCATAAATATTTTTATAGGGGAGAGTGGGGCAAAATGGAACAGCCGAAAAACGACTATTTGACACAATTCAAGAAAAAAAAAATTTTGTTTTGCTTGAATGGCATCAAACAGTCGAACTTTTGACTGTTTTATTTTGCCCCGCTGTTTCATTTTGTCCCACTCTCCCCTTTATCTGCTCAATTCTGAGATATTTTCCAAAAAAGTACAAAGGGGAACGAATAAATAATAAATAAATAAATCTCGATTCACACTTGAAAATGAATCGAGATAAACAATCGATTTTTTCAAAAATTAAAAAATTCAAAATACTATATTTCGTTACGAGTGCGGAAAAGAGTTCGCCTTCACTCGCCTTCGGCTCGTGCTATAAACCTCCCACGAGCCAAAAAACACTTTTCCCACGAGTATCGAACGATATTTTTCATCACAATGTGTGGAAAAGGGACGTTTTAGGCACGCAAAGTGTGCCTAAAAAGTTACTTTTTCGCACAGCGTGATGAAATAGTATATTTCGTAACGAGTGCAAAAAAGTATTTTTTGGCGTGTGGGAGGTTTATATCACGAGCCGAAGGCGAGTGATATAATCCCACGAGCTAAAAAACATTTTTTCACGAGTTACGAACAATATTTTTCATCACAATATGGCGGAAATTGGACTTTTAGGCACGCGGAGCGTGCCGAAAAGTTCACTTTTCGTCACAGCGTGATGAAAATATAATTTATGGTTGAAATTTTAATTAATATCGATGGATAGGGCTCAAAAATACTTCCATTTGAAAAAAATGATTCAATTCAATGATTCAATGATTCAATTTTAGATCATAATAGTTTGATATAGCCCAAAAAATCCGAAACTTAAGGATGTTCTACACCCTTTCTGCCAAAATTCACGTTTTTAAAATTTTTCTGACAAACTTATGATGGAATTGACGTGAAAAAATATAACTTTTTTGCGTTTTGTCATTATTTAATGACTGACGAAATTTTAAGGTGGTGCGAACATTTTCCTGCGTTTTCTCTAAACTTTTAAAAAGAATCACAAAACTGTAGAAAAAACGCATGAAAATTATCGCACCACTACGCAACTTCGTGAGCCATTAAAGAATGACAAACCACAAAATCGTTATATTTTTTCACGTCACTCCCATCGATAATTTGCCAGAAAAATGAAAACAACGTCAATTTTGGCTAAAAGGGTGTCGAACATCCTTAAATTGGAACGATTACAATATTTCCATTAGGAAGCAAAAATCGTTCAAGTCAACAGGAACACACTTGGAGTTTTTCATTTTTTTTCAGTCTTTATTTTTCTTTTCTTCAATTACTGTATAACAACTTTTTCTTCGAGGGCTTTTAATTTTTTCATTTTACTTCATAAGGGCATGGGACCTGCGCAAATATTTATTTATATTTGCTCATTTCTCAGATATTTCCCAACAAAATTTACCGCAGAGGAATCGATCGTTGAAAATGATATGTAATTCATCCAAATCATAACACGTAATCAGGAGATATCGAATATTCCATGAGGACTGTAAGGTAAAGTGAAGCGGAATTTCTCGAATCGTCAGTATCTCAATATATCAATTTATCAAATTCATACATCAATTTAAAAAATAACTAGCGTGTGGACAAGGATTTTGATCGAAAAAGGAAAAATTGAAATATCTCTATAATGTAGTATAGATGGGTATATATATTTTTATTGTTTGAGATAGAAGACATCGAGGCGAGTTTGAAAAAAAAATAATTGAAATCGGATGGATAGATTCTGAGATATATACGGAAAACGTTTTTGATACAATATTAACCATCTCTTAAACTAATCATCCGATTCAGCCCATCTTCAATCCCATCCATTGCAGTACTAAGAGGCAGACTTGTACCAAATTTCAAGTTGATATATCAATTAAAAAAATAATTAGCATGCGAACAATAATTTTGAGCGAAAAATGGAAAAATTGAAATATCTCTGAAATTTAGTATAAACGGGTATACGTATTTCGATTGATTGAGATAGAAGACATCGAGACGAGTATTAAAAAAAAAAATAATTGAAAACGGATAGATAGATTCTGAGATATTTACGAAAAACGATTTTGATACAATGTTGAATATCTCCTAAACTAATCATCCGATTCAGCCCATCTTCAAGAAAATCGAGAAATCCATGGAATACAATGCTTCTATTCCGAAGCAAAAACAATTTATTAATTTATTTCAAATAAATATTTTTTTTAAATCAAATGAACAATTCATTTAGTTCAAATAAAAAAATTTTCTTAATGTAAGAAAACTGGTTATTTTGTATAAATAAAGAATCTATTTGCATCAAATAAAGATTTACTAATAGTAAAAACCACATTTATTTAATATAAACAAAACTTCAAATAAATTGTTATACGATATATTTATTGAATCAAATAAATCATTTTTCTGGGTGTACATTTTAGAAAAAAAAACGTTCAAGTTAATTTTTGATAAATCCTACCTCCAAACCTTAAGGGGATGGCAATATTATCATGAGAATCTCTTTTGTAGAGCAGAACGAGAGCTACAAAAGAAAATTGTTCCAATGAAAATATTTTCAGAACACTCCATAATTAAATCTCTTGATTGATGTACGTTAAAACAATTGTTTGTGTTGTTCTCTTTCGCAGTTTGAGAGAACTAGTGCTTGATCGTAATGGGATCAAGGAATTACCGCCCGAAATTGAACTTCTAACGGAACTGAGGAGCATCTCTCTGGCCGGAAATAAGCTAACGAGTTTACCATCATTTCTGAAAATGCGGGCACTGACTCTGGTGAGTACATCCCAATTTTGCATGCCAAAATGGATGATAAAAATCTAGAAAAAAATCACATCTATTCTAAACTCTTGAACCTCTTCATTGTTCCACTTTGATTGCGATAAATATTTCTCTTTCATCGTAAATAAAAAGTCCTCTCAGTTTTAATATTCAGTTTGTCTTTTCTTTGGACCATCAATCTATTTAAAAATTCTATATTCCAATGATTTTTCGCAAATTTTCCTCGGATTTTCCCTTATCGGAAAGCTTGGAATAAAAAGGAAATTTTTATACATCAATTATCAATTATTTTTTAAATAACAAATCGTTTGAAAATTTTGTTGTTATAAAATTTGTGGAATAATTCGTATAATTGAATTCACTTCAATGATTTTTTTCAAAATTCCCAAATACGGATGATTGAAGAAAATACTTCTTGTTCATCATAAAATAAAATATTCATTGTATTTAAGCATTCCATCCTTTTTTTCTTGAAAACATGAATTTATTGACAAATTCTACATTCGCACCATTTTTGGAAAATTTAGCGGGAATTTCTTTGCTTCCAAAAGAATGGAATAATATAAAAAAATGAAAATAAGATTTTTACGTATCAAGTACCAATTATTTTTTAAGTAACGAATTATTAATTATAAATGTTCTGACTGAAAAATTTGTACAATAATTCGTATAATTGAATTTATTTTTATCATTTTCAACTTCAGACCATGAATCTATTAATAAATTCTACATGCATACGATTTTTCGCTAATGTTCCTCGGATTTATTCGCTACGAAGATAACAAGATAATATAAAAAGATGAAAAAAAAATTACGCGTCAAGTATCAGTTATTTTTTAAATAAAAAAACATCTGAAAAATTTGTTATAAAATTTGCACAATAAGTCCTGTAATTAAATCAACTTCTACGATTTATTTTCTAATTCTCAATTACTCCCGGTTGATGAAAAAAAAAAACTTCTTGTTCCCCATGAATAAAAAATCCATTCGGTTTGAATATTCTGTGATTTTCTTGTTCAAACCATTAATTTTTCGTCAATTTTCCTCGAATTTATTCGCTACTAAAAAAACAACAGTATAAAAAAATGAAATCAAATATTTTACCCATCAATTATTGTCCAAATATCAAAATCATCTGCAAAAATCGTCGTAAAATTTGTATGATAAATCCTATAATTAAATTTACTTCTACGAATTTTTTTCACAATTCTCAAAAGAGCAAATAGTTAAATTCAAACATTCATTTGATCTGGTCCTGCAGAGAGAAGAGTTAATTTTAAATTCGTTCACGACCCAGCTTTCGCCGGGCACACAAAAAATTGTCTTATAGACTCATCAATTGTTCCCCTCCACGGAAATCTTTAGTAAAAGGCGAAAGATTTATGCGTGTTTTGAAGGGAAACCAGAGTGACATTTCAGCGTATCGGTAGATACTTTCTCAACTAAAATGCGGAAATTCACCTGCGGAAACAGAAGCGATCATTCGCCATCCCGCGTAGTTGTCGTGAACTACTCCACTCCGACGGCGGCGTGGCGCGCGCACGCAGCCTGGGTTTGAATTCAAATCGATATGCGCCGCATGCGAGAGGGTTACGGCTACACTCGGCATTGCTTCATGCGTTTTGGGGCGTAAAATACGAAATTGGAGGATGTTTTTCCGACAACCGATGCAAAAAAAAGTTATTAACAATGTAGAGGTGAAAATAATCTATAAAATGACGATGTGTGACTTTTTAGAAAAAACGATTTTTGGATAAATTGCTCTATACCAAGATGTATTGAATCGATCGACACCAAGTTTTATACACAAGTGTGACTCAATAATACTAATTAGTAGCCAGAATCTCATATGTTTATTCCAAGTTTAAGGCGTATTATGGAACGCCACATTAACTCTCAATTGAAAAAATTTGAAAAACGTGAATATCTCGAAAACTTTGTATGAACGGGTATTCATATTTTGATTGATCTTGATAGGGGGCGGCAAGACGAGTATTATGAAATAAAAATAAAATTAATCGGACCAGTAGCTTGGGAGATATTGAACAAAACAGGTTTTCACAAAAAGCTGAATATCTTCTAAACCACTTGTCTGAGTTCGCCTACCCACAATCCTGTCCTGTAATATCATAAGAGCTACAATCTCACCAAATTTCAACACCCTATCAAAATTTTTTCGGAGGTTATCGTGCACAGAACGATTTTCTCATAAAAACGAAAAATGCCGATTACCAAACTGTCCCTAGTTATATAGCAATATTGTGATTTGATTTGATAGATTTGATTGATTTGATTTAATAGGTTTGATTAGCGCAAGGAATATTTTGATGTAAAAAAAATTAATATCCAGTGTATCACCCATGTGTAAATATCATCTAAACGAGTGGATTAAATCCACAAATAAATGTAATTTTATTTAACTCGTGCATCATTTAATTTCACTAGCACACACAATGGAAACACTTTCCAAATCCACCCTAAAATTAGCAGCTCACCAAACAAACCTTTTTTGTAACCCTCAATTGGCTCTACAAAAAAGGTCATGATAACAATTTTTATATCTCTTTTAGATTTCGAGACATTCGTCAAAAACTGGCGAACAGTCAAAATCGACTAATCCGGTTTACCGCTTTGCTAGTGAATTGTCCTTAAACATTTCTCTCTGAACCCTGAAAATGAATAAAAATGCGAAGAACAAAAATATCACCAAAAATATAAAAATACTGTATTCACATTTTAACCACCAGTTAAAATAAAATTCCTCAAACTTACTGATTACAGGATGTCCTTTCCAAAGGTGACACCGTAAAACTGAAGGATGAAAAAAATAATCACAACAACCTCCACAAAGTGAACCTCCGTAACAATCAACTAAAAGGGAACATAATTCTGGGTAATTACGGGGTAAGTACATTCATCACCATTAGTCAACCCTAACTGAAAATAATTTTCATCACTTTCATCATCATTTATAACTCTCCGGTATTTGTCACAGAATTTGACCCATTTGGACGTAAGCGAGAATAGCATCGAGAAATTAGATGTCAGTGCTTTACAGGAATTACAGAGTGCACGCTGTGCCCGTAATTCTCTAACGGAATTAACTCTCTGTGGAAGGAATCTCGTGTCACTCATTGCTGGAAATAATAGTAAGCTCGGTGATATGCAATTAATTAATGTCGGTTTAAAATGCAATAATTAAATCTTTTATGTCATTCTGTGGAGTAAATCGAGTTTATCGCACGAAGTAACATAAAATATTATAGACCGCTCGGGGATAAATTTCATTTCCTACGAATGAGAGTAGGGGAGCTGGTGCATGTATCCCCCACCTAAGGAAAATAAGTCGTTTTTCCAGCCTCGCACTCTACAAGGAGTCGCAAACGGTTAGAATGGGTTGTGGGAGGTGTTTACTCGAAGATGTGAAGAGGACAGATTTTTTACTAACATTAAACATATTTAATTATGTTATTCATTTGCCATCGGCCAGTGAGCGATGGAATCGAACTTTGAGGGTAATACCGCCCGGCATGCGCCCAATACCGCCCACCTTGTTTTGATGACTTTTTTGAGCAATGCAGACTAATTGTTATAATTTTTCCTATTTTCATCCTTCGTTTCCATTCTTTGGCTCCATTTTGAGAAAGATTTCACGTGAATAATAATAAATTATCCTGAATTTACCCGATGTTCCAGTGGCCACCGACTGCCCCAAACAATCGAGCTGTCACTCGACCGCCTTTTAGCTGCAGAATCTAGCAATTCTATAGAAATCCTGAACGGTATTACCCACAAACTCTGGGCGGAACAACCCACAAACGCGGAGGCTGATAAAATAGCCAATAATAACTGATGAAGATATTTTTCTGCTATCGAAAAGTTTGCAAGGGATGTGGAAATGTATAACGAACATATATTTCGCACTCCATTCAATTATGAACCAACTGGAAATTTGAAAAATCTTGAATTCTGGGATCGAAATATTTTAAGAATTCGGTAGGAAATGATTTTGATTTTGTTTAACGATATTTCCCAGGGAAAAAATTGCAAATTTCTATTGAAGTTACTTGTTGTTATCAAATATTTGCATAATGAAAAAAAAAAAAAATTTCTCAGCGAATCCAGAGAAATACGGGTGGGCGGTATTACCCGCTGGGCGGAACAGGCACCAGCTCCCCTATTCATATTCGTCGAAAACTGAATTTTTGTGCTCTAATGTACTATAACGACACTTGGGGCTAATTATTTTTGTCATTTCAATTATTGTTTTTTTTTTCAAGAATTGAGGAAACTGACTATTGAACCTGTACCGACGAATTTAGAGCATTTGGACGTCTCTTAGTAAGTCAATTATTTATCCATTAATCATTACAAATTAATTATTGATAGATTATATGTTGTGTGACGTGGGAGGTTTTCGTCCTCCCTTAATCAAGTCGCTTTTCGACTTGAAGACTATGCCTAGCTAGTCTCGGTACGAGCTCACGGGGAGTTCGCCCATTTGGGGAAGTTCAGGAAAGGATTGATAAGGGTGTCGTCCCAATAACCAAACACCGATTATTAAATGGATCAATATAATAAACTGAAGCTAATAATTCAATATAAAATCAAAGTAATAGTGGGTTCGGCATCGCGCGCGGTGGTAAGATTTTTGGCGAGGAGTGGACATCCGTTCAAATCCAACTTCTCCCGTACTCTGCCTTGATTTAGAGCTTGAATATCGTTACTAGCTTGAAATGCTTCATAAACATTCTTACGGTTTTTCATAACTAACACAGCCATATGTCATCACTGACAATGGCTACAACAGTCAAACAGCTCCATTCTAAGAAGCTGGACTCAAGTGTCAGCGTGGGACTGTTTATTCAGCCCAGCCAGTTTGCCTTATTTTCACCAGAAAATATAAATTGAACAAAATCGACGTGTGGATATCTCCACACGTCGCAGTTGTGAAGGTGAAATACCACGAAAAACGACTATTCAGCAGAAAGTATTATTTTTGTTTTATCCTATGTCCATGGAAGAATTCATGAAAAAAAATACATACATACAGGCACCATCTAAAAATCGGTCATTTGGACTTTTCAGACCATATTTATTTACCCTGACACAAAAATTTGGAAACTTAATTTTGAACAATTACGAAGCTTGCAGTCGGAAGCAAAAAGACAAATAACGTATCAAGTAACGGTCATATGCCTTCTGACAGAAAGGCGGATCTCTCTCCTCTGACCCGAAAACATCGAGAAAGTTTTTTTGCAGAAAATTTTTCTCTAAAGAAAAATCTTTTCAATTTCAAATATTTGAACTAACGAAGAACAATCCTTCACAGTTTTTCCATTTTCTAATTAAATATAGGATCATCATCGAATTAAAATTCGAAGAATTCACTCCGTTGGGGAGATATCGTTTGAAGTCTCCAAGTGCACGAGGAAGGCTCACCTAACTCCAGAGCCTTTTACAAAGATTAAACTTGACTTATGAATGACATTGAATGTTTTAGCAACTGTCTGGATGCACTGCCGGAGTGGATATCCGATTTGCCAGGGTTGCGTGCGCTCTTTGCATCTCACAATGATCTCACAGCCCTGCCAGACCGCCTATTATCACAGCCATCGAGGCTTGAAGTACTTCATTTGCCTCACAACAGATTACAGGCCCTTCCACCCCCCCGTAAGCCCCTCAACATTGTTCATCTGACCCTCCAGGGTAATGCATTAACAGCATTACCGATCACGTTCTTCCAGAATACAGAGAGGTAATTTGGGAACATTTTCAATTAATGAAATGGATTCCTGTGAAATTATTAATTGAGGAAATTAAAGGGATCGATTATTTTATTTTTATGATTAATATTTTTCTTTGTCTTCAGTTGAGGGTCAAATGACCTTTTCCTAAGGGTTGATTCAACCTAGACGTCTTTAAGGGCCATTATTTGTACCTCGATACCATTTGACCCTCATTTTAAAAAACAAGACGGACTTTTGAGAAAAATTGACATCGGACTGGTAGATTTTGAGATATTGAGCAAAGGAGTTTGACATACAATTTAATAGATATTCAATTTTGAGATCTGAATCGAAGGGAGATAGCGAAATTTTCATAAATACAGTTTTTGTAGCTCTCAATTCGCTCTACACTGACAGAAAAAAACAATTTTATTAAGAGAATTTTATTTGAATCAACTGTCATTTGGTTGTTAATTTTCAAATGAACATTTAACAGTGAATATCAGTTATTTCTTCTTGAGATACATTTGATTGGGAGAAATCGAACTTCTCTGGAATCGAAGTTCCTTTTATTCGTCGCAATAATGAGAGTATTTGATTTCTTTCTAGCCAAAAGTTTGCCAACTCCAGGAATTCGTTGGTTTACTCAAAAATCAAAATTCTTCTCATGACTAAATACGTTGTTATCTCAATCAACACGATCATACGTTGTTTCAAGTAAATTATAATTGAAGTGAGGATTTCTTATGTCGAATCAGGATGAATATTGTTACGCGGAAAAAGCTTTGAGATTGTAGTAAGATGTCGTTGAGTTGAAAGAAGTTTATATTTCTTGACTAAAAAAATTGCATTAGTTTACAATAACAGAATCACAGATTACGGCAATTCAACACAAACTTGGATATCACAAATTTCGTTCACTGTGATGTACGGAAAGTTCTATTTAAACATCGGCTTCATTCGAGAACACAACATTCAATTCATTCCTCAATCTAATCATCTCCTAGGTACGAATTTTTGATCAATTCATGAAAGTAGAAAAATTCTCGACTGGAGATTATATTAAGTTAAAAAACAGAACTTTTCCATTTTTGTGGTGAATACATGTGACTTGACGCCGAGGACTGTTTTATTTGATTCAAGTAAATGGATCTCAAGAAGAAATAATTGATATTCACCGTAAGACCTCATTTATTTGAAATTGGTGCAAGTATATAATACTTGTTCCAAGAAAGAAACATTTCAATAAAAATATTTTTTTTTCGTCTCCCATGTAATTCGTCCAGGCTGAAAGTACTGAATTTATCCAACAATCGGCTGTCAGAACTTCCGTACAACGAGGAAGCTGCCAAAAATCGCATATCTCCGTCTCTCGAAAAACTTTACTTGACTGGTAATTGTCTAACGGATGCTGCAGTCGATGCCTTGGGCAAACTCTCAGCACTTCGTGTACTTCATCTGGCTTACAACGTCCTGGATACTCTCCCAGAGAGGTATGACGGAGATTAATGTTTCTTGGGATTTTGTTATGCGAAAATTTTCTAAATTAATCAACCATGTGAGATGATTTCCAATTGCTATTCAGTTTTACATAGCCCTGGAGTTTCAAAAATTATGATTGTACAATCAAAAAAAACGTTGAAAAAAAGCTAAACATTTTCAAAGAGCGTTTTTGAATAATATTGGAAAATAAACCCAATAGGGAGGGAATCGCAAATTAATAATTTGATGTATCTAATGGCTGTCAAATCGTTAGTTACCATAATAAATTATCCATTCACTATTTCCTCTCTATCGGATTTGTTTCTTAATCTTTATTAAAAACGCTCTTTGAAAATGTTCTGTTTTTTTCTACTTTTTTTGATTGTACAATCATAATTTTTAGGGACTCCTGCGTGATGTAAAATCCAATGGAAATTGTGATATATTTTATATTATGAAAATGGAAAAACAATCGAGGTAACATTCGAACGATAATCCACTCGGGCCTTAACATAGTAATTTCGAGGTCAAATGAAAAATTACGACGCGGCGAATGAAAAAATACTCGTGACGGAATTAGAATATGATGGAGTCCATAAGAAAAATTACTGCGGAACATGGTAAAAACTAAGATTCGGTATAATAGAAAGTGATAACTCAGAAGGTAAAATTTCATTTCTCACTAGTAAAATTTATGAGCATAATCATGATTTTTTACTTAGGTGATAAAAAAAATTCCCCCTTCCCCTCTTTCAACACGAATATTCGTAGAAGAGGAGAAAGGAGAGCGTTTTTTTTTCAAGCACCGCACAGAGAAAAAAAGTTGATGAACTTTAAATAAAAGTGGCTAAATGTTAGAAACTTCATAACAATTGCCTATGGAAACGGGAGGATTTTCATTTTTTGCCGCTCGTGTCTGCAGGATTTTTCTTTAGTCGGCACATTTACTGAAGGATAATCGGGCGAGCCCGGAGGGTTAGGGAAAAAGCAGCCATTTTTTCTTTTTTTTTACATCCTATTATATTATTTACTATTACTATTACTATTAAATTTACTAAATCAAATTTTGAAGTTTTTCCGGTATGGTCCTGGATTACGACGTTCACATAGTAATTCTTCATTTTATATTCTTTTCATGTACGCACATTTAGGACCACATTTAGTTACCCTACCAAAAAAATTGGAAACTTAAATTTGAGCGATTACAAAGCTTCCATGCAGAAGCAAAAATAGTACAAGAGAGTAGTGAAATGATGATAAAACAAAAAAATAATGCATTCGGAAGCAAATTGCTAATTTACGGGCCCCAATAAATATCCTCATTTATAAAAAACGCAATTATCCACTTGTTTTAACAACTTGAGTTCTATTCATTCGATTTTAATTTACCGAGCGCCAAAACATTTCGTTTTCCACTGCCGTTCCCCGACAATTTGAATGACGAAATAATTTGAAAAGAACAATTCAACCAGAAAACAGAGATGAACAAGTTTCCGCTGCGAAAGTCCCTCTGAATTAATTATAACAAACATTCTCCCTCTTCCCGTTATTTACTCCGTAAAATGCTCATGGTACAGTATCCATTTATTCCTCACAATCAGATATTACACGACTCGTATTATTTACGACGCGATAACAGTTTGTAACAAGTTTTAATATCCTCTTCCAGCTGTATCGCATCGTGGCCCGATTTGGAAGAGTTAGTGCTGTCTGGCAACCGTCTGCAGTACCTCCCGGACAATGTTGCGAATTTGCAGCATCTACGTGTACTGCGAGTGCACTCTAATCGACTCCTGACCTGTCCTACATTCAACAAAACAGGGTCATTAATGGTAAGATCATGATTTTGTGATTGAGGTACTCCAGTGACCGGATTTTTTTCCCCGTCAAAATTCCGCCGGAAAATTTTTCCCTTGGAAAAAAATCCCTCGCCTAAATATTTCATCGGAATATTTCCCCCCGAAAAGTTTCCCTGAATTTTTTCCGCGAATAATTTTTTCTTGGTATATTGAAGTAAGTCAATACCAAAACAAAAAGAATGGAAATAATTAGAAAAAAAAATTGAAAGTTGAATAATATCACATTTTTCTAACTTAAATGATTTTTTGTTAGATCTAAATAGATGACATCAAAGCGGACATTAAAAAAAAATGAAATCGGACCAGTAGTTTTTGAGATATTGAGCAAAAGAGTTTCACATACAAAGTTGAATATCTCCGAAACTAATGGTCCGATTCCGTTCATCGACAATCCCAAACTTTGTTATCACAAGCCCTAAAATCGTACCAAGTTTCAAATTTCTATCTTAATTATTTTTCAAGTTATCATGCACACAAGCAATTCCGGTGAAAACATGAAAAAACGAGAATAAAACTACATTGCTCGGGGTGGAATGGTCTTTTTTCGATCCAGTTGAATAGGTATCATCATGACGACCATTTTGAAGAGAAAAAAATTGGAATCCGTCGCATGGTTAAGGAGATATCGGCAAAAAACTATTTTTGAGGAATCGCTATATCTCAGGAACCGCTCAATCAATCGAGCTGAAATTTAGCACAAATTTGACTATCAATAGTACCAATTAGCAGCAAGAATTTCAGCGTCTTGGCGTTCATCGTTCTCGATTACTAAATCTATTATTGCGACAAAAATTTTTCATTCCGGCGCACTCTCTGCATGTTTTGCACAAAAAAATCCTTTTTTTATAATTTTCAAAAAACTATTTTCTTGGCACAAGTAAGACTTGTTTGAAAACTTTGTCGTTTTTCTCTCAGTGTGGAGTTAGAAACCACTCAATTCGTCCTGTTAAATAAAAACTGAATGACTTTGAAAAATAAAAATTTCATGATAGTTCATGATAGTCTACACTTTTTCTTTTAATAAAGAAGAAATTTTTAAAAAATTGCCGCAATTTTTCAGCAAATACTTTTAGTACTTGAAAAAGTGGTGTGACCGCCCCTTAATTTCATTTGTATTCTTCAGGTGCTCGACCTAGCCCACAATCAACTGGACAGAGTCAACCTGGCGACCCTCGTTCCTCCTCAGCTCCAGTTCCTCGACATCTCCTGCAACTCAAGGCTTCACGTTGACCCCAGACAATTCCAGGTCTACAGATCTCAAAGGCCAGTCTCTCTAATCGACGTTTCTGGCCAAAATAGACCGAGTTTACCGTCCCATCCCCTTCAGCAGGAGATCGTAAGTGCTGAGAAGGGTCCTGAGCAACCCTGGAGGCTTGGTTTCTCGGAAACTGCAGGAATGAGAGAAAAGTTAGTACTCAAATTAAAATAGCATACAGTTGATTCCAGATGTAGCATTCCGATTAATTATAAGAATATCTCCAGAACGAGTCGTTTCACTGGAGAAAAAAAAATGGCAAAGAACTTTTTTTTTGTAGCTGAGGAAATTTCCAACGACAAGTTTTTACATTTTCTTCTAAAATTCATAATTTTGTAGATAATCTGACATACGATGGATGAAACAAATGCAGTGTTTTGAAAAAAATAATGTTAATTATGCAAGTGTCTGGAGCACGTATGAAAAAATGCTATAGGATTTCCTATAAGAAATCCTATGGAGAATTCGAACATTTACTGTAGGATTTTTCTGATAGGATTTCCCACAGGATTTCCTATAGGATTTCCTATAGGATTCCCTATAGAATTTCCTATCAGATTTATGACCCTAATCTTGACCCTTGTAGCCGATTGGTTTCGAGTCTCAATTTTCTGTGTTACTTTCTATAGAAAACCCTATAGTGAATTCTATAGGAAATCCTATAGGATTTTTTCATGTGTAGACCAAGGGGTTCTAGAGAAAACCTTGAAGAAAGTTTTCAAAGCTCGTGAAGTTGCCAATAAAAAATATCACTCGACATTTCTCTTCCAAATGGATAATTACTTAGTTAATTTGACAGTTCACGTATAAAATCACGCACGGAAAAATATAATAGAAAAACCTCTCGAATTCGTTAGAAAATTCTATTGAATTTCTATTAAACTTTCTATTATTTTTTGGCTGATTCTATTGACATGTTCAGTAGAAAACATTTAACAGAAAAAGTCAACAGAATTCTATTTTTCTATATATAACTTATTCTTTTCATATATTTTCTATAGAATTTGCTCGACTCAAATTTTCTAAGTTTTTTTCATTCTATTTTTCTTTTCTTCTCATCAAGAAAATCAAAGGAAAAAACTTAGAAAATTTGAACCGAGGAAATTCTATAGAAAATATCGCAATAGAATAAGTTATATAGAAAAATTGAATTCTATTGACTTTTTCTTTTTCTGAATATTTTCAATTGAACATTTTAATAGAATCGGTCAAAAACTAATAGAACAGTTCAATAGAAATTCAATAGAATTTTCTAACGAATTCGATAGGTTTTTCTATTAAATTTTTTCGTAGGTGATATTGAATCACTGTTGCATTTTTTGTAGTTTACACACTTGGCGTTAATTAATTATAACAGCAAGGCAAAATGAAACACGAAAAACTAGTTCCGTTTCAGAATTTTTTTTGTTGCTGTGTCACATGATAGTGTCACGCACAGACATGGTCCCCAAACTTCGTATTTTTACGTTTCAGATCATTCTGCATCATTTCCAAGGAAAATTAGAAAATGTGAAAATCGAACGATTGCAATGCTTCCATTCGGAAGCAAAAAGGACTAAAGTTTGAGCTAAAAATCTGAAATTTTGTCTGATGATTGGTATTACTTTGGAGCATTTGTGGGCGCAATTTCAGCTTAATCGGCCCAGTAGTTTCCGAGATATAGCAATTTCTCAAAAATCTTTTTTCCTTAATATCTCATAAACTACGTGACCGAATTGAAGTTTTTTGACGGGAAAGTATTCCTTACGATAATATCTATCGAAGCAAATCAAAATATTGCTAAGTAACTAGAGTCAGTTTAGTAATAATCGGAATTTTTCATTTTTACTAGGAAATCGTTGTGGAAACGATAACTCGCTGAAAATTCAAGATAGGAAGTTGAAATTTGATAGGATTGTAGCTCTTATGACACTACAGAACTGTATTGTTCACGAGCTAAATCGGATAAGTAGTTTAGAAGATATTCAACTTTTTGTGAAAAACTGTTATGCTTAATATTTCCTAAACTACTGAGCCGATTCACTTTTTTTTTCAAAATATTTGTCACGATATCTTCTATCAAGATCAATCAAAATATGTATACCCGCCCATACAAAGTTTTCGAGATATCAGCGTTTTTCTAATTTTTTCATTTTAAAGTTAATGTAGTGTTCATAATACGCGTGAAGCTTGGTCTAGACATCTGAGATTCTGGGTACTAATTTGTATTGTAAGCCCACAGTTATGTGTAAAATTTTGTGTCAATCGATTCAGTACATCCCGGCATGGAGCAATTTATCCAAAAATCTTTTTTTCTAAAAAATTACACATCGTCATTTTATCAATGATTTTCGTCTCTATATGACTTAAAAAGTCATAACAACAATTTATGGTATTTTGTATTTGATGAAATGTCATAGCTATGATAGAGGTAGAAGTTAAAATTTGGTAAAATTGTAGCTCTTATGACATTACAGGATGAAATTGTGTAGCTCTGACAGAATCAAAGGTCGGTGTGGTTTATTCCCCCTAGCAATATGAATAGCTTTTTGAATAGTTATCATCTGCGAAATTGTATGGATCCATTTGGAAGCTTATTACCAATGGAATTGGTAGAAAACAAATAGTAAATGTCACATGGCTTCCAATGATTTCCATGACTGCGAGGATGTTATTGTGCGTTACAGCTCTCACTTGAAGCTGGTCGCGCGCAACAGCGCGCATGATTGCTTAGTAGATTCAAAAAACGTAAAAAATAAAAAAACTGAACTAATAATTAAACATTATCAATTGTTTGTCATAAAACAAAAATATCCCCATCTCGCCCACAGGCTCTACATCTCCCAGATCCGGATGCCATCCTTCTGTAACACCGAGGGCCTCTTCGGTATCTTCGACGGTGGAACGAACCAGGAGGCTCCCTCAGCCCTCCAGGAGATGATTCCCCGCCTCCTTCTCGAGGAGCGCACGATCCGAGAGACCTCCAAGGACTACCTCAAGTACACTCTCCTAGCCGCCCACCGAGAGTTGAAGGAGAAGGGTCAGAGGTATGGGGTGGACGCCAACCTGATTCACATCACGAGGCTCCCCTCCCCGCAGACCTTCTCCCGGGCGCCGAAGAAGTACTCGTTGAGAATCTCCTCCTGTGGAGAAACGCAAGCCGTCCTCTGCAGGGCTGCAGGTCCTCTCCTGCTCGCCCCTTCCAAGAAACCACCGCCCACTCATCAACTGGGTAATGCCTCGATGTTTCCCCTGGTGACGCCTGACCCATCCTCCGAGGAAGTTGCCCTCGAGGACGACGACGAGTTCATAATCCTAGCGAATAAGAGGCTCTGGGAGGTGTTGACGATCCAGGAGGCTGTGAGGGAAGCCAGGGCGGAGGCCTCACCAGTTCTGGCAGCCAAACGCCTCCAGGATCTCGCCCAGAGCTATGGAGCTGAGGACAACATGAGCATTATCGTCGTGAGGCTAACCGGACCGGCGTCTGGGGACTTGGACCAGCTGATGAGGGAGCTGCGTCATGCGGTGACGAAGAGTCGACCCCAGGGGGAGGGAAACTGCTCGTGTGCCTGCTGCTGTCCTCCGGCTGCTCATAAGTCTCCAGGTGAGGATTGCTGTCAAGAACAGGGTAACGAGGTTTTTTGGTTTTTGGTTCCGAATGGAAGCTTTGAACTCGCTCAAATTTAGAGTCCAGTGAATACACTGAGAGACAAACAAACACGTTGTCAAACAAGTCTTGTTTGGGCAAACAAAATCGCTGGTTGAAAATTGCCAAAAAAGAATTTGTTCGGTTCGAATTTGAAAGTTTCAAATATGAATAATTGTTCTGCTTTCGACAACAACGAAATATTTGCCTCAAGAGGCGGATAATGCACACCAGACGGTACCTTTTCAGGATGAAAATATCTCAGAAGAAAATTTATCAACATATATTTTATCCCTAAGTTACAAGATTGTTATCATATCATTATTATTATTTCATTTAAGGTTTCATTTTTTGTCTGTGATTATTATACAGCCGTAACTAAACACTACTATCCTTTGTTTCGCATGTTGTTTCGCCCTTTAGCCCTGGGCCTCATTAGCAACCATCTTTAGTCTCTCGTAGATATTCATAGTCTCAACTACGTCCTGACTGTGTAGAGTCTTAGAGATTTTTCAATTAAAGTGTTCACATAGATAAAAGGTGTTTCTTATTTTTAAACCCCATAATCCAATACTGGGCGTTTAATCGACCAGCCGCGTGTATATCTAAATATCTAATAATATCTAATCTGCCCTAACACAAAAAATTGGCAACTTAAATTTGAGCGATAACAAAGCTTCCATTCGCAAGCAATATTAGACCAACTAAGACGGGCCCCAAAAACTAAAAACTTTTCTCTGGATCATCCAGGCGCCTGCTGTTGCCACGCAAACGAGGGTTTCTACCTCAACGGAGTCCTCAAGAACATCGTGAACCGAGGGACTTCCCGTCCCGGCTCAGGAAGATACTTCAAGCACCCGGGGAATCCCGAGAACTCCAGTCCCCCCTTCAGAGACGACAGGAGCTCCCCCAGTGGACAATCGGACCAGACTACAGACAGCACATTCAAGACTAGGGGAACCTCCGGAAGGGGATGGGCGGGTTCTGCAGCTGCCAGGGCGGCCTCCAAGAGCCGACAAAATGTCATTGTCCACGAGGGCACCTGCAGGAAGGAGGATGTGGGCTCCGAGAGGTCCGCGGCCCTCAGTGAAGAGCAGTTCAGGTGCTGGGAGTACATGCTGGAGCAAAACACTCACATGTTGTTTGACAAGGAGCTGGACACCATCTCCAGGATTCCGTTGAGGAGGGGACAGTCCAGGTCGACTCCCCAATTGGCGAATCTACCGTTTTTGTCGAAGAGATTCGGCAGCGCGAGGTCTTTCAATCCCCCACTTCCCAGAGGACCTATGATGAGGTGCGTAATTGTTTTGTTTTTAATCAGTTTGATGAATAAATGTAGATGTCGTG